TTTGATGCTAGACATTGTGAGTTTTATTTTATTAAGTGTTGGATGGTTTTCTATCTCTACAAATATTTTTGAGCTTTCTTCTAGGACCTGGTTAAGTCACCTGGCAAGAGTTTGATCCTTTCAGATTTTGCTTTTAAACTTTATTAAGTGGCACTAGACCAACATCCAGGATAAGGCTAATTTTGCCACACTACTGATGCAACACTCTTCTGTGCACTTCACATGAGTTCCAGAGATTGTTTCCTCTAATATTTTCAGATGGCCTTGGGTAGTCTTCTCACATGTACATTGCTGAGTACTAAGCTAAAGATTCATGGAGCTCTTGTGCACATTTCTGAGGTTCTTTATAAAGCTTTTTATTCTATGGTACCTCTCTCTGTGAACTCTAACTTCCTTGGCTTCTCTGTGCTCCCAGTTCCACTTCTTCAACTCAAGAAGACTTGTGTCTTCTCTGTTCTCCCTCTCTGTGCCACAGCCTGGAGACTGTCTAGGAAGTAAGCCAGGATAATCAGAGGGCTCACCTTATGTCCTTGACATCTCTCAAGGATCACAATTCTTTCTTGTTGGATGTCCAATGTCATGAAAAATCACTATTTTATATAGTTCATTTGATTTCTTAGTTGCTTAGTTGCAGGTGCGAAGGTAAATCTGGTCCCTATTACTTTATCTTGGCCAAAGGCAGAAGTCAGAATAAGAAATTAAAGGCAAAATTGGGAGTGTGGTCATTTCATTGTATGAGATCCAACTCAACCCTCAAGGGAATTAAAGAATAGTAATGGTTATAAAGATCAGTTTGGCATTGGATTAAAAGACCTTTATGATTGGTTCTCGATGTCTCTGGCTGCCAGAAAAGTATAGGTTTTACATAATGCTTAATTTTTTCATGATCCTGAGAAGTTCAATACAGAGAAATGCTGATCCTACAGATGTACACAGACAGATTAGTTCTGTGTTCCACTGGATGGGAGTCAGTGTTTTCCAGAAAAGTAATAATAGCACAAATATCAGCTCAAATACCTCAGTGCTGATGCTGTGACAGACTCAGTTCTCAGCACCTTATGTGTAGTGACTCACCAGGAGCCTTGGATTTCAATGATGGCACTAATGCACAGCACAGAGACATACAGAGATGGTCACCAGAACCAGCCTACAGTCACTCACCACTAGATCTACTGTGCTGCTTTGAACAATTTCTTGCCTTGGGAAGAAGGCACAGGAAGGAATAGATCCCTGCAAAAAATTTGATGGAGTCTTATATGTATGTTGGCTGGAACTCATGACCCCGAGATCATGACCCGAGCCAAAATCAAGAGTCACACACTTAACCAGCTAAGCCACCCAGGCGCCCCTTACCAAATTAAAATTTTATTTTATTTTTAAAAATTTTTTGTTATATATATTTTTTTAATTGGAGTTTGATTTACGGGGAATACAAATTAAAATTTGAAATAGCATGGTCAGGGTAGGCCTCCTTAAGAAGGTTACCTCTGAAAAAACAAAGCCCCCCAGACTCAAAAAAAGATGAGGCACCTAGTCACAGGGACAAGTGGAGGAAGAGTGTCCAGGGAGAGGATGCAGGCAACATGAAGCAGAGTGTGTTGTAGTCCTGCCAATAGCATGCCTTGCCAGTTCAAGAAAGAGCAGGAAGGCAATTTAACTGGAACAGAGTAAGTGAAGGGAATGCCGAATGAAGTGAAGACAAGTAAGAGGAGAAGTGGCTCATACCCACACCAGAAAGTCAGTGTTACAGGGAATAAGAAAGAAACAACACTCTTGCTCTTCTGCTATACTGAACACCAGCTGAAACATAGACCCATAAATGTATAACATAAGTAAACAGATGATAAAACAAGGCTTAGAATCCCTTAGTTGGGGGGCATCTGCGGGCTTAGTTGATGAAGTGTCTGACTCTTGATTTTGGCTCAGGTCATGATCTCAGGGTCGTGGGATCAAGCCCTGGGTTGGGCTCCGTGCTCAGCTCTGCTTAAGACTCTCTATCCCTCTCCCCCTTGTTTGCTGTCTCTCTCTCTCTAATAAATTAATTAATCAAAAACAAACAAACAAACAAACAAAAAGAATCCCATAGCGGTGTGCTGCATAGTTTGGCTTTGAGTCCTATGGTGTGTCCCAGGCCTAGGGCAGCACTCGCAAAAGATCTTGTCCCCAGCTGGCCTCTGCCTCTCCCTTCCAGCAGTGCCTCTTGTGGGTTAGCAGGACATTTTTCTCCTGAGTGAAGTTACCACCATCTGACTGTGAGATTCACAATGAAGGAAGCACCCTCGCCACGCAAACCGAAAATTTCTGCCAGTTCCCTGAGGCTGCAGGTCATCTAGTCAGACGTGCTGACAGGTGCTTCTTCACTCTGGCTAGGTACTGGGGAGAAAAACGTCCATTTCATTTTATTTAGTACTGAAGAACTCTCAAAGAAAAGGCAAGTGGGAAGATATATTTTGTGGTTCTGCTGAGCTGTGGCAATTCATTCTCAGCTTTCCTGTAACTCACAAAATGAGAAGATCTCACTTTATATACTTGTATCTTAAGCTTCTAGGGCAAAAAAAAAAATCACATAGCTAAGCTGATCAGTGCTTGTTGACATTTCGCCATGTTCTTTGAACAAAATGATGCTAGCAAAGGAAAATGAAATACCAGGTCACCTTCCTCCCTTTTGGGGTTTGTCTTTAAATGACTATACATGGCATTTCTTTTCTCCCTCGGTTATACACACACCTGGGTTTAGTCTGCAGGCCACCCCTCTTCCTGACTGGGTGACCTTGGCACATTACCTAACCTCTCTCAGCTTTTGTCTTCTCATCTGTTAAATGTGGTTCAAAGCCTCTGCTTCGACAATTATAGCCAGGGTTTCTGTGCCAGTACATGGAAAGTTGACCCTTCCTAAGCACTCCCTCTGCCTGGGAAATCATGAGCTCCCAGTATAGATATCTCCTTCCTCTTATCCCTCCTCCTGGCCCAACTGGTATACAATTGCCTGGGTCCTAAGAGGCAAATATGACTGCAGTTCTCAGGAGGGAGGCAATCTCTGCCCAGCTTCCCCTCCACACACACACACACACACACCCCTGCCCCCTGTCCATCTTTCCCCTGGTTGGGCTAGTTTAGCCTGGCCTGCAATATCCCACCAACCCTGAGGAGACCCCCACAGTGAGCTGAGTGGCTGCTCTGTGCCCTGTGACTCAGCTGAGCACCTCCCTTTTCTCCACCCTGGCTGCCCAGGGCATCTCTACTCTTCCTGAATGCTCAGGGTCCTCTCCTGTGGTTCCATCCACATGGATTTTGTGCTGTCACCACATCATCAGAGGAGCCTCTGAAAGCTGCCCTTTCTGATGACTCTGGGCCATCAGGTACTTTTAAGGACTGAAGGCTGGGACAGGCAAACAAGGTGCTTCCTGGCTAGCACGTGGTATATGAAGGAGAGTGTTAATGGTCAAGGCCAATGGTGAGCACCAGACGCCAGTGGCAGACTGCCAGAGATGATTTCATCCTGGAGCTCACTGCATTTCCCCATAGAGGTGTCCTTGTACCTTCCAGGTTCGAGGCATTGGGGTGTAAGGTGGGAGATGGCTCTCCATTACCAAGGTCTGGAAAGGACACTTCCTGGCACCTCCGCAGGGGGATGGAAGAGGATTCAGGACAAGGCTGTGAACAAATGCCCTTTGGAGAAACAGCTGGCAGGAGGTGCTAGACTGGTTTTGAGGTGCAACCCTCTTCTGCACCCCAAACAAGGGCAAGCAATGCTCCACCTGAGGACTCGCCCCGATTTCCTGAACCAACTCCCACAGAGCCAGGAAGTCCTTGAGGGGGCAGTGTCCTGCCTTATGGGCTCCAGGCTGACTTGTTCTGCTGCCTGTGACCCTGGGGTCTCATTCTGGAGGCATAGTCCCTGGTGTGTCTGTCTTGGAGTTGGTCTTGCCCTGGGTTCTTGCTCTGGGAACCCGTCCAGCCCTCCAGGCTCCCTCCCTGGGACTCGATGCCATCCTGAGCTCCAACACCAGGACAGCCCTTCCACTGGGTATCTCCTGAGTCCTACATGTCCCCACCTCACCTAGTTCTCCTGCTTCTGTCCTTCTGGCTCTGCTCTCCTACCTGAGCCAACTGCCAGCTAGAACACAGGCTGCTCTGACCTTCCCCTGGGCCAAGTAATGGAGATGGCACTGCCCCAGGTCCTGGCACATCCATCTTGGCACCTCTATCCCCAGGGGTGGCCAGGCCACAGCTTGTTGTCTACAGCATAGTGAGAAAGTGTGTGCTCTGTGGGTAAACAGACCTGAGACAAATCCTTGCTCTACTTTCTACTAACCAAGTCATTTTGGATGACTGCATAACCTCTGATGCTTGGTGTTACCATCTGTACACTAGGGAGAGCAATCCAGAGAGCCCGTGGTGAGGGCTAATCTGACTCACACATTAGGTAGCAAAGGACAAAACACATGAGCATTGCTCACTGAATGGTAACATCTTAACAGGGTTATTGACGCTACTATCAAATAGCCAATTTATTATTTATTAGATATTCTTGACCTGACACTTTCCAACACTTCATGGCTTTTTGCTGCTTTCCATAGCTACCCAGGGTTTAATATCAGGTGACATCACATCACTTCCAAGGAGGATGGGTGAATTTTCTTTTCCCTAGTGTCCTAAATTTTTCATGTTACGCCATTAGGCTATGAAAGAAGAAAGAAAGAAAAAAGAAATGCCTTTGGATTAAAACAAAACATTAGGTTCTTCTTGTTGGTAGGGACTCTGAAGTGTGCCCCTATAAAGCTGCCTGTGTGTGAGGAAGTGTGTATGTTTATGTGTGAGGCTCTCTATGCGTGCACCTGTGCAACTGCCTGTGAGGGTGTATGTATATGCAGGCCAACGTAAGTGAAAATGTGCATGCACGTATGTGTGTGTATGTGTGTATGTGGCATATGGATAGCTGTATCCTCCGACAGAAGCCAGATGCTCCTTCCTGTGTCGGTCCTCCAGTGGCTGCTTACCTCCATGTTTCTGCAGAAGGTGGCGTTGGTGCCAAACAGGATCTGGCACTGCTCGTTGGCACTGTAGTGCATGCCCGGCAGCTTGTGAGGGAGACGCACCACGTGCTGGCTCCGGGGGTCTGTGACCAGCAAACAGGTGCTGACTTTCGACCTGAAATGGCCAAGAGGCAAGTTGACTTGCAAGTGTACGTACTGCTCAGGTGTTTGTTCTGTCAGTCAAGAGAAGGCAAGAAGGATGCATCTCCAAATTACCTACGGAAGATGACTCAGGCATTGGATATGTAAATTGTGCTTTTTTTCCTCTCTCTCTTTTTGCTCTTTTTCTACCTGGCTGAATGCAGATCTTTACTGCAAAGGCAATGGGAGTTTAGCAACTAGGAAAGGGCCTGAGAATAACACCCATGAGGCTAATGTACTTTTCTCAAGGTTGAGCTTTCTTGGATGAAAATGCTTTTGAAATAGATTCCTATGGTATTTTCTTAGAATATGTCTTTGAGCAAAATTACTAAGAGTGAAGAAAAAAATAGAAGTTAGGATTGTTTTTGTTTTATTTCAAATAAAAACAAAGTGTTTATTTCCAACTCTGCAGATTCACTTGGAAGGCCTGTGGCAGGCTGTGGTCACTGACTGGTATATGTGTTCCATCCCTGAAAGCTGGCTGGTGGCACAATCTGCAAAAGACATCAGGATCACAACCAGGGTAGAAATGTCCACAGATGTTGCGAACAGCTCTGAGAAACTAAACTGGGGGAGCTGTGAGGCTATGGCTCCATTATGAGGTTATATACTTGAATGCTTTGACTTCTCAATTCCCCAAACAAGGTAGATGGTAGTGGAAAGGAAACCCAGCCTCTTGCCAAAATTCTTGAAGAAAAGAATTACACACAAGTACACTCAGGCTGACGCTGGCCCACCTCTCCCAGACTCAGACCCACACAACACTTTAACAAAGGCATGGGATCAGCAACATGTAAATGAGCAAATGAAAATACCCTACCTTGTTTCATTGATCCTTCTAGGGAAAAATGAAACAATATCACATGGCTTACAACATTTCATTAAGATTCTGTGATAACAAGTACTCAGGATGAAATAGATTATATTAAAACTAACAAGCCCATTTTTAAGACTTGTGTACCACCTAATTTCCCCACCCACAGGAGATGTAATGAAAGAAGACCCAGGATGAGGACAGCAGGCAGAGTGACGCTTTTGGCCGCTCCATCCCGAATTCACTAGGTGCTTTAATGTGTTACTGAGCTTGCAAAGCTCTGTAGGCAGGGAAGACTCACTTGAGTCCCTTTCATCTCCATGGAGTGGACAGATGAATCCAACTAAGTAATGAGGTGATCTGGATCTGCGCATCAAATCTGTAAGTTTATCCCTGAGGTCTTGACACTAAGGGACCCTCCCAGTACATGAGCTAAGACTTTGTTTGACAAAGTCCCAAAATCAGATAGCCAGTTCTTCTGTAAAAATCTGCAAGTGGAATGGTACAGATACATTCTGCAAAGAAAGTGCCAGTGAAATAGAGCCTATCCCCACATGTGAGGGAGGTGAGGAAGCCCTGCTCCCTAGAAAATGTGCTCCCCATCAAGGGAAACAGCCTCAGCACTAAGGAAATGTCCTTTTCTGTAGCACCCAAGGGATGCTGTTAAGGGAGTATCCATTCAGGGTCAAAATACCTCAGAGAAATGAAGTGGGGTTCTTTTCAAGTCACAGTCACTGTGTTGACATTCAGTCAATCAACAAAGCATTTATGAATAGCAGCTGGGTGCCCAGTATCATACAAGACACACACTTGGGAGGAAATTGAGCCAGATGTGGGAGGTTCTGTACCTCTTTAGGCCAGTTCAGAGTTCTAAGAGATTCATTTCTCCTTCCCACACTTGCTAAGACTCTAATTGTTGTGCTTTCTGGAAGTACTTTCTATTGTAGTGATTGTACAGAATGATTCAAGGACTTACTTGAGGAAGTTTTCAAGGTCATCACGACTGCAGGAGGACCAAGAGAGGTCACTGGGGTTCCGGCCCTTTACCCACTCTCCTGACATGATGTGGGATCTGCCGGCGCAGGATGAGTGGTCATCGTCATGGTTCATCCCCAAGCTGCCCGAGGGAAAGTAAGAGGAGAGAGGGACACTTATGCTACAGGCTTTCATCCCCAGTTCCAGGTTCCAGCATACAATGCTAACTTAAGTCAAATCTGAAAGACCAAGAGTAACACAGGCTGATGCCTGGTACCTGGCTACTCTCAACAGAGTAGGCCAAAAGCCATGAGCTTATAGAGAAACAGAGCGATGGTTTCCTTACTTCATGCATGAAGCCTGATAGAGCAAATGGAATACCACAGCATTTGTTAAATAAATGAATAAATGAACCTATAATATCACAGTTAATATAGAATTATATAGCTGCTGCAGGAGGGAAGCTCCCCAGAATCCACAACTGCACACCTGTGTTCAGAACACTGGGGGCTCTGCTTCTGGTCCAGCTGTCTCTAGCCCAGGACCCCTCACTGCCCCGGCTGCCCCACAGTGATAGAACTCCCTCCTCATGCTCCCTGGGAACAAGGAGAGTGCAGGCAGATGGCACCCGAACATGAATTAATATAGAATTAACTGTGATATTATAGGTTCAGATGTTATAGGTCTTAAACTGCAAGTTTCTGATGATTACACTTGTTTTTCGATACTAAAATATGTCCATGTTAATGACTGAAATGTTTTGCTGCCCTATGGAGAAGTCACTATGTGAAAGTCTAGTGGAGACCATCCAAGACTTTGACTTCTATAATATCATGGGTGCAAATCTTTATAGCAGTGAAAAATGTGGTTTTTCTATCTTTCACACATCATTATACCTGGATCCACCAAGATCAGACCTGTCGCCTTCCCTGCCCAGTCGTACCTAATAGATACCAGGATGCCCGTCTAGACATGTGTGGCTGATCATGCACTATAATGCACTATAAAGCTGAATTGATGATCTTAGTTTGCACTTATGCTGTCATTGGGATGACCTGGGTCACAAAACATACATGATCAGATGGCCCACGCTTTGCTGACCTGTGATTTCCAGGGCAGAGTCTCACTGCTGAAGGAAGCCCATCCTTCGTCAACAAGTTCAATGGAGAAAACATACACTTTCCTTCATTCAAAAGTATTTATTAGAGGTTTCCCAAGTGCCAGCTAATGGACTAGAAAGAGAACAAATAATAGTGCACAATATGCCATCCCTGACCTCAGATCGCTGCCAGCCTGGGTGAGAAGACACAAACAGAGATAATTATAAAAAGAGGTTCTAAAGGCTTCTCCAGAGCCACTTTTTCCAGTTTCCCTCATATGCCTCTGACCATCTTCCATCCATTCTCCCTGCTTGCTGCTTAATCAAGGTGTCTTTTGGTGTCTTTTGACAGAAGCCTGCCTGTATTCTTACTCTGCATGCCCTCCAGCCACTCCATACTCTTTCCTATGAGACACAACCTTCATCACCACCATGCGGAGTTGGATTAACCAAAACTCTCCGCGTCCTCTGTAAGATACACTGCCTGGCACTCATGCTCCTCAGTCTCTGGGGTGGCAGCGCACTCTCTGATCACCCACACGTTGCTGCTCATATGCGGTGAGGGTACACTTAACCAAGGCTTAATTGTATTTATTCTCAAACCTATTTATGTCAGTAATACTTGTTATTTCAACAAATATGTCTGGTTACATGTTGTTTTAATCAATGAAATGAGAACAAAAGTAGTTATTTTCATGAAAACTTAGCTAGTAGCTAAAAATTGACCACTGCCAAATTGGGGGTGGGTAAGACAAGTGTAAAAGATGAAGGGGAAAAAATTGTAAATATCTGCCCTGGACTGCTTCACAAGGGTCTTTTATGTCCTACTCCATCTAAGAAAGAAAAAAGAAAAAGAAACCGGAATTCTGACTCATTTCATTATAGTTGTGGCTTGTGTGAGGCATGTGATGTGCACATCCAGTCGGCAGACATGCATTCTCAAAGAAAAAACTTTCACCTTTGCCGTGAAATTGATGAAAAAATTAACATTCTCATGGCTTAAGCTAAAATAAAATATTTAAGGCACTGAAGTATAATTTCTTTGTTTCCTCACTTGTACCAATTTTTTTGGTCAGTTGGTCAACTGACTAACTTATCCTGTCAGAAGAAAGCACACCTATGTGTTGATGGCCACATTTTCCCAGGGCCTGGACCCCTCTACTAGACTTTACCCTGAATAATGCCCTCCCTCTGCATTTCCCAAAGGCTCTTCCAACTCCCCAGATTCCATCAGGGTGGCTTTCTATCCCAGCTTCTCTAACAGTGACCAGCACAGAGTGGGTACTCTGAGTGTTTATTGAATGAATTCTCTATTTAATACTGGCGAAAACATCACAAAATCGGAGAATCCATATCCATTACAGGGGTGATAAGTCTACTGCAGTAATGACGGCTTGTTCTGGTTAGATTCAGTCTTGCCTTCCTGCCAAGAAATCCATCCAATTCAAGTGAAATGAAGAGATTGTCAGATAAGTCTGACCAAAAGGAATAATTTAGATCTATTTCTAATGGTACTTTGCTGAATGAGTCCTATTTTTCAGTGCCACTACTCAATTTTTTAGGTTTTCTTTTTTTTTTTTTGCCTTATTATCTATCCATACCTACAGCTATCTAAAGCCTTCCATTTGCCTGTCCAACTATTATCTCTTTGTTTTCTGTTAACTTTTAAAGGCACTAGCTGGTTTTTCAAATTCATTTAGCAGTCATCTGAAATTTTATTTTGGATTTGATTTGATATCTTTAAATAAAACCAGTGATGGAGTTTTCTTTTTTTTTTGTATATTTTTTTTTATTGGAGTTCGATTTGCCAACATATAACACCCAGTGCTCATCTCCTCAAGTGCCCCCCCCCCAGTGCCTGTCACCCAGTCTAGATCTTCTGAAAATGCTGATAGATTTCAGTGACCTCTGCTAAATGTGTAACGGTTACAGAAATAAGATGTCTCATGAAGAACGTGGCTTCATCCCATCTTCAATGACAAGGCGTAAGCATAGCACGCGGACCAGATGCAACTGCTTTATTGTCAACCCTGGAGAACCCAATCCAACAGAGAACCCACCCATGAGTCTGTTGTTCTTCTAGCTTTGCACTTTCATAAGCCAGTTCTCATCATCCTGGGCTGGGATCTCTTGAGAGAGAGAGAGTGGCCACCAGATGGGTTTTTTCAAACAACAAGGATGTTGTTTGGGAAACCACAGTTGGAGGAGCTCCAAGCCCTGGCAGAGTGGCCTCACCACATATGGAGGAATGTTTCGTTTGTGACTGCTTCTAAGTTTTCTCCGGTGGTCAAGTTGGTTGTAAAATCAAAGAGACTCCTTTGCTCGCACTGCCAGATTCTGCTGGCCAGAGGGCCTGGTCTCTCAGGAGACAAAACTGTGTTTTAAACAGTGCTCAGAAAAGCTGACTATGCCGTCCACAACTGTATGCCTGCACGGTATGTTATGTTAGTGTTTCACTATGCTGGCCCCAGAAAAGGACTTCCCCAAGGAATGTTCCAGTCAGCAAGATCAGCCAAGAGTGGGATTCTTGGATTTCTGCAGCCTGTGTCTAACACAGATCATGCTTGATCTGGTTTAAAATGCTCAAATGCTAACTAAGTACCTCATAAATTTACAGTTTGATGAACTAGCATTGGGCTGGGAGTCTTGATATTTGAGGTTTACATAAACTACTGTTTAGGCTATTTTTAAATTAATTTCGGGATTACTGGACTGAGAAATGTATGTTGTTTTAGGTTTATGTTCCGGGGCATCTCTTACTCCTGGCAACATTATATTTAAAAAACAAACAAACAAACAAACAAAAAAAACAAAAAACGAGTAGCATTAACCATACACAGTAACTCTAAATAACAGTGGGGTTAAGGACACAGACAGGCTTCACATCACATGTGACCCAGATTTATCAGACACAAAAACCACTTAATGGCTTGAGTTTATTTTATCTTAAAACAAATAACACACTGCTTCTGTATTTGCTTTAGGAAATCCAATATATACCATGCAGGAAATTCTAAGAGAATCCCTACAATGTTCAACCCCTCCTAGCTTCACCCCAAATTCTAAAAACCATGGAGAGGGCTGGGTGTTTTAGACTTGATATATATACCATTTTGAAAGCTTTGGTTTTACCTGGCTTTAAGCCTACCTGTCTGTTTCTCAGAAGCTTTGGGGTTTTGACTTTGGGTATGTAATCAGATCCTACCTCTCCTCAAAGTAGTTTTGCCTGGGAACCTAGGGAAATGGTTCCTGTGATGTAGCCTCTCCACTGAAGGGGTCCTCAGCCAGGCCAGGCCCTAACCTAATAGCCCTATGAGCACACTGACAGTCCCTTTTCAGTAAGTGCTCACTGATGCTACAGTAACAGGGAGGGCTCATGGCAGTTTCTAGGAAATGATAGGCAGATTTGTATTGTTAATATTACTCTACATAATAACCAAAACACCAGCTTTATAGTAGGAGGAAAATTCTCAACTGTCAGTATTTCTTTGCCAAGAACCATACCATGCCTTCAATCTCCAGCTACTCAGAAATGTCACCTACAAGTGCTGAAAGTCACTAGGGGTGACAGTTTGCACTGGCTTATGCAGGTTAAATTGTCATAATCATCCATAACTCCATTATGGGGAACAAAACAGAAGGCAACAATAACATCAAAATCCTCTCACCCCAGAGAAGTCTTTGTTTTTATTTTTGCTCAAGAAAATGAGCCTACCAGCCTTCAGGGATTCAGTAGCAATGCAACCACCAGAGTAGATCTGGGGTCTCTACAGATTCAATGTTACCTCCTACACATGCAGGATCATCATGGTATGAATAATCCTAAAATATCACATAATTCTGAATCACCAGTGGTGAATAATGATTCATACAGCACTGGTGTGACATGAATCACCAGTGGTGAATAATGATCCATACAGCACTGGTACTACACTTTGCTGTAGTAGATTACATCATAGTAGGTGAAAGTGGATAAGACACCTATAGTATAAACCGTCTCTCTTCACTAGCAAGAGTACTAAAGTAACAAAAACACTCACGTT